AAAATTAATCCAACTACCACCACGTCTTCGTCGATATCCTTAGCTCCCACACTCTCACTGCTCACAGCAAAACAACTCAACTGCAAAATACATCAGTCCAAAATGCTGTGACGGCCGTGACGGCCGGCCGTGCCGTCGCAGTGCGCGCACCCCCCCTGAAAAAGGCGGTGACGGCCGTGACGGCCGTGACGGCGCAGTGCGCGCGTACCTTTTGACCCCAGACTTTCAGGAGAGAAATCTAGCGCTCTAGTCAGTCACTAGACATCACAGTCGTCAGTGATTACAGTGTAATACAGTAATCCCTCTATAGTTATATTGTAGTATCTGTAGTAATCTGGAGAAAGAAGTACGTGTATTACGAGTTTCTAGACGACTTTTCCTGCATACCACCAGTTGTATCGAGTGTAGGGGTTCCGGCCACTGGTCGTAAATTCAGCGGCCATATTTATACATAATCTAACCTAACCTAACCAAACTTCTGTATACGGATTTAGGCCAGAGGTGGTTGGTTCTCCGCTTCCCTTTGTATCACATAAACTCAATGAAATTCTACAAAAACTGTTAGGCGTGTAAATGTCACGTAAAAAATCACCTCTGGTACTGTATTACAACAATGATATATTAATTTTCTCTAGCAAAGGCATTTGTAAAAGTGCACAACCAATTGAATAAATGATAACCGCACTTAATAAAAACATTGCTACAAATAATGCCCATAAATCAAACAAATAAAAAACTATCGAACATTAAGATAACTATTACAACAATGCTATCAACGTATCAATATACAAAAGGAAACCGAAACGATTACAATGCAGTGACTCACTGAGAAAAAATACCGACAAACAAAACCTAGACATTGACCGATTCGCTAACTACTGTATTGTTAAATATAAACAGCTGATAACGGTCCAGAAGAGAGGTGGGTTCCTAGTAGTGGTTATCAGCTGGGTCGCCGGAACTTCCGGTCTCCCGCCATGACTCCTCCCAGCTGTTGTGGAGCAGGTTAGGTTAGTTGAGTGAGGACTGAGGAGCGCGCTACGGTGTACGGTCTACTCTGAAGTGTTAGTGTTTGTTTACGCTTGTGTTTATTTCCATCGGGATGCATTAACCTCTTCATGTGGTGCCAAGTTTACCCCACCTGAGTTGTGATGGAGTGCTTGCATGATGGTAAGGCGTTGAATTTAGATAGAGCAAGTAGACCTCCCATCATATTGTTGAATTTGAAATTCGTTTATGTGTGTTCCATGTCAGTGTCAGTAACAATTAGATTGTTCATTATTAGATAGTTATTTGACTAAAATAATGTTAAATAAATTAAAGATAAAGAAACAGATAATAATGTAACACCTTTAAAAACCTGACGACTACCTTTTGAAGTTGTGCCATCAGCCACAGATAAAATGAGTAGACAATCTATGGTTGTGCTCAGCTTGCCCAAGTATGATGAACCTACAAAGGACCCACTACCATTCCAGTCTGGAATATTGTTATTTCACTTCATTTTTCACTACGTATATTTCAAAATTTTAATATTGTTATTGGTGTATTATATATTATCTATATATATACATATATACAGGGTGTTTATAAAAAAACTTTACAACTTTAAACAATCATAAAACCTTTATTTTTTCACTTACAGCTATGAAACAAAAATTAAAATTTAGGAAATTTTCTCAAGTTTTATTTACATGATAAGAAGTTTACCTAACTTCAATGTGTTTCCCGTTGTTTGCTCGCAAAAAATCAAGTCGACATTCCAGTTCTGACGAAACACGACGCAAAATTGAATGTTCTATTTCATCAAACGCTCTCCTGATCTTGTGGGTATTGAAGGAGGATTCCTATTATATCTTGTCCGAAATCTCCGTTGAACAACAACATCAGATTTCGTTTCAATGAACCACTCCACACACTGCGCTTTGATTCGTGCTTCCATTGCGATGCTAATGAGACTTTTCAATTATTTGTTTTTGTTTACCAAACAACAATGTAAGGCCATCAGCTGATTGAACTGCCAGCTGATTAAAACTTTTTGAGCAGCCCTTTCATGTGGTGTCAATAGGAAACGTTTATGTCCCATGGATCATGAATGGGAGAATGTTAAAGTTGTAAAGTTTTTTTATAAACACCCTGTATATATATTATATATATATATATATATATATATATATTATATATATCCTGCTGAATAACTCATCATTTATCAGTTCTATTTCTGTATTTTTTTCATATAAGTTGCCTAAAGCTATTGAAGCTCAACAATATTTTTTATCATACATTTGTTATTTACCACTAAAAAAATTTGGTAGCCTATACAATACATATTTCTTTTTAGATAATAATTTGTTATTACAGTACTAAACTAGTGGACTCTATTTGATTCAGGCCTACTTGTGGCTGAAAAATATAAATAACTCTACAACTGACAGATTTCCAGTCTAAACCAAGATTCCCTCATTTTATCAGTCAGGGGTCAGATCCTGGGTGACTGTCTGAAGATAAGTTCTGTTCTCATACTGATTCTTAATTAGGGATTCTATTGCATCTATTGAATAACGTGACTTACATAATTTTAAAGTATTGGTTCATAAAAACCGACAAACAACGACTCAGTGAAATTCAGTGATACAGGAATGTAAATTGCCCTTATTGTAGTCAATTTTAAAGACACTTACAATGATGGAAGGTTGGTTGAGTCGTGTATAGTTTTGTAAATACATTTTTAATGATCGGAGGTCGGTTAAGTTGTGTGTAGATTATTTTTAAATAAACTTTGAATCATGGTAGTTCGGTTGTGTTGTGTGTAGTTTTGTAAATAAACTTTTAAATGATGGGAGAACGTGCGTGATTTTGTAAATACATTGTTAATGATCCGAGGTCAGTTTTGTTAATTTTAATGATAGGAGCTTGGTTGTGTTGGGTAGTTTTGTAAATAAACTTTTAATGGTGGGAGTTCGACGGTGTTGTGTGTAGTTTTGTAAATAAACTTTTAATGATAGGAGTTTGCGTGTGTTGAGTGTAGTTTTGTAAATAAACTTTTAATGGTGGGAGTTCGACGGTGTTGTCGTTGTGTGTAGTTTTGTAAATAAACTTTTAATGATAGGAGTTTGCGTGTGTTGAGTGTAGTTTTGTAAATAAACTTTTAATGGTGGGAGTTCGACGGTGTTGTCGTTGTGTGTAGTTTTGTAAATAAACTTTTAATGATAGGAGTTTGCGTGTGTTGAGTGTAGTTTTGTAAATAAACTTTTAATGATGGGAGTTCGGTGGTATTGGGTAGAGTTTTGAAAATAACCTTAGGAGTTCGCTTGTGTTGTGTGTAGTTTTGTAAATAACCTTTTAATGAAAGGAGTTCGCTTGTGTTGTGTGTAGTTTTGTAAATAAACTTTTAATGGTGGGAGGTCTTGTGTTGAGCGTAGTTTTGTAAATACACTTAGGCCTACCAGACATAGTTATTTTATCCACTTTTGGATAATGCTATAATTGACTTTAGGTATAAATTCAATGATGCTATCTAAGAAATGGTTTAGATAGAGTAAGACCAAAGTTTGTACCTTAGGGTGGTTCATCCAATGTGATGTTTATTTGTTTTGTAAAGACTTAGAATATTGTGGTATCTTTGTTGTTTGTAATTGTAATGTCTATGGTATGGTTGTTGTTTTCATAGTTTGCGCTTATAGCATGTTTAAGTAGGCGCATAGAGGAGGTAGGAGGTACATAAATGCTTTTCGGGAAATCCATCCAAACCCATGTGTTTTGAGGTTGTGCCAGAAATCGTACCAGTCCCTTTTGCACCAAAGTATTTTAATGTGTTGTCAAAATACTTTCAATGGTAGGGTAGTAGAGTCATTATATTTGTGCTGGTAGGGTTCTGTCAGACAAAGTGATGAAATGTCCATCGTAATGTTTGCGGTTCACATTACCTGGCAGGTCTGTGGGCCAAGTTTTACATCACAGCTGTTGTGTGAGTGATAGTTGTCATTCTTCCAACTCTCTCCATTCCTTGAACGCTTGTCTCAAACTTACTTGACAATAGAGACACTAAGCATGACACTACAGTTCGTTCACAAAATTTAGGTGGTCTGAGGATGAGGAGAGGTTTCCCTACTACTTTTTTGCTTATTCTATGTTGCAGCTGATTAAATTTTTGGAAAACCTCAGCTGTTGAGCTGTTGTTTCAAGTAGGATCAAGTGGTAGTGGGGGGGGGGGGGGGGTGCTCTTCTTCTCCTAAAACTGCCACATTTTGTGCTAGGTTGTATGGTTGTAGATAACAGAAATTATTAGGCTCAGTTTAAGCTTCACATGTGTTTAGAAGTTGCATCTGCATATACAATTTAAAGTTCCTATATGATGCAACAGGTTTGTATCAAAGTATTTAAGTATCATACAAGTAGGGTTAAATACTAAAAGTAATTACGTTTTGGCAGCCAATTTATTTTTAATCAACCAAATTGTATACAATTTATTATTACATAAATTTTGAAATGAACCCTAGGTAATGATAGAAAGAGGTTATCATTCTGTTATTTGAACCGACACCCTTTACAAATTTTGATTAACCCTCAATTAATTACGGTCTGTCATGTTTCATTTTCATTCCAAAATTGGAGGTAATTCAATAATAGGAACATATTAATATTTAAAATTCATGAATACAGTATTTATCTTTTGTTTGTGGAAAACATAACTCCCAGTGGTTACTTGAGCCCAAACAAATTTTTTAATCCTCAAAATAATATTTGAGTACGGAAGTATATCATAAACCACTTAAGAATCGTTACTTTGTTTCTACACAAATTATTTAATGAATACCAACAGCATAAAAAAAACTATATTAAAATGAAATAGTCCAATTGTAAAATATTGTAATAAACTGTACTTCTTTAAGCTGAACCCAATCGTATTTTAGTAAATCAAATGAAGGAGCTCTGACAATTAATCACAAAATGTAAAATAAAATATGTTTTTGTCTTCATTACACATTGTGTTGTTGCAGGGTCCAAGGGTGGAGATCTGCTGGACATTGTGATCCTGTCGAGCTCTGCCAGTGAGGCCGCAGGACTCTGGGTCTCCTACCTGTCTACATGCTTCCAACAGGTGGCCAAGGAACGGAACAGGCCTCCATTCAAGTAAGTTTTATGATCAATTTGACAACTCAGTTTTTAGTAATTTAGTTGTCTTATATATATACTGAATTAGTCACCCCCATCGATGGAGCAGCCGCGATAAGAGATTGGCAGCATAGGTAAATAAATATGCTCTTTCACAAGAGCTTCAAAAGCCTCAGCAGGAAACATATTAGGCAAAGTAAGGAATGAGTTGATTCAGTACGGTGGCTGTTTCGGTTCTAAGACCTTGTCAAGGGGGGGAGTTCCCCCCACGAGAAACAATGTCCTCCCCCTCAAAATTTGGTATTCTTAAAGCTGTTCGGTGGTTTTCTAAAGCCATTTTTAACGTCTTGAACTGGGTCTAGAAATTTCTGTTATATTTTTGGACAAAATGTGGGGTACCAGTATACCCCCCTCTTTGGAACCGCCACTGTACAAAAATGAACAGTACTGAGACATTTAAGTGATACCTCTTGGACATGTACCCACATCATTGCTACCTTTATTTACCAGTTCATCTCGCTACGACTGTGCCAACGACCTGTATCGACAGAATTTTACTGTTCACGATGATTGTTATGATTGCAGAGTACTATGTCTGAGTGTGGAGGATGTACTGACTGGTGTGACTGTGGCGTCCCAGCATGACTCTGTGTTCAAGGCTCGTCTACAGCTGGTGATTCTGTGTCCTGTACTACTGCAGTGTCTGAGTGCTGCTAAGTCACCAGGACTCCTGGGGACTCTACTGCAGCCAGGGCATGTGCTGGGTATGCTGCTCGGAGTCACTGATGAGTCTATTACTCTGCAGCATAGAGCAGGTACATTGCATCACAAGATTTTAATTCTTAAATTAGATTTAGGTGAGTTGCTAGCCTAGTGGTACACGTCTTGGATTTTGGTGCCAGGGTGATGGTTTTGATTCTTGACATATCCATACAATATTTAATGGGTTTGGACTACTTTCCCTTGTGTGTTTGTATTAGGTACCTTAATTAAAATTGGCACAGACATAGACTCAACAAATTAATTTTATATAGGGTATACAATGCTAACAAAAGAGAGTGCATATTTCAAGGTGATGAGCATTGAATGAATGATGATCTATGACTAAGATCAGATTGTTCTTTAGCCAGGACCATGTAAGTTCAGTGATCAAGGACAACTGAGTCCAGAACCATAAAGCTTTTGACTTTTCTCCAGATTAAACTGCCAACATTCTGATTACTAGATGAACACTTACATCCTAACTTTAACAATATCCATTTCTTAGCTTAGAAACATACATCTTCAAGTTAGATCTATTTTTACACCTTCAAATGGTTGAAACTTTCTCTGTTATACTAACGTTTTGTATTCCTCTTCAATCCTCCCTTCTGAATTTTAATTTAATCCAGTTGTACTGTACATATCTTGCCTATTTTTTCCAAATTCTCAAAATATGATTAAAATATTTTTGAGTTTATATAAACTTATTTTATACTAGTGGCTTGTAGGGACATAAGTCCCTAAAAAGCTCAATAATATAAAACAAATTATTCCAATATTTAAACAAACTAAGAAATATATTATCGCTGTTTCAGAATATATATCCCTGTACGCCATATCTTTTGTGTGAAAAAGAGTTTGTTGTTTGTCTTTGTTTGCCTTTGATGATGTTATTTTCAATAAAACTTTTGAATAACTACATAGCTTTTAACTCTGATAAAGGCAACAAACATATAATTGTTTTTTAATAAATACTGATGGTTTATTAAGGTAGCTTTGGTCTTGTGGTTGGTTGTGATAAAAAAGACTTCCCTGATTGGAACTTTGGAAATTGTCTTCGTCATATAAGAAAAGGCAAATAAAGGTGTTGAATAATAAACGTGTTTATAATTCTAAGTTTATACCTCTTTTGTTAAGGTTTATTAGTGTAAAGTAAAGGCATCCCATTGACCAAACTTAACCCTAGATTTCTTCTGATCAACATTAAAAAACTACAATTAGTGAAAGTTCATGTGGTGGTATTTCTCTTAAAGGTGCGATTGACGTTACATATTCTATCAAATTAGACCTAATCAATGGCTGATTCTTAACTCTTTTGCGAGAAACAGACAGTACTTGTTTAAAATCTCCAAGCATATTGTTTTTCCTCCCATTCGAACTTGTCATAGTACTTACTTAATTTACAAATATATATTTCCTGTACGAACCTATTCCATCTTTATTTCCAGGTTATTTTCTAAAGCCTCCACTTCATACAAAGTATTGATTAAACACTACAATAAGTCTCAAATTTAAAAGAAAGAAAGTGTAGAATAAATCTAGAACATGGTTTGAAATAAAAACAAAGCAGAAGTTTTCCATTTAATCTTGAATCGTTAATAATTTAGTCAATGTGGTTATTTAATGTTAAACAAACGTTAAAAATACACAAATTTGAAAAGATTCACAGTAAAATTATTTATTTCCCCATTCCATAACGTAACTAAAAAGTATTAATTCTTACAGGTAATGTTATCCCTGGTTTTATATAGTACATTGCAGAATTGACTGGCAAATAAGTCATCCAAATTAATGTTATCATTGCTTATACTGGCTTGATGATAAATCACGATCAGCTGTATTGAAGTAAACAAAAATCAGCAGTAAATGGCTTCTAATGCTTTTCTTATGGAGAACATTTTACGTTATATCCCGTTTTATGGCAACTTTATGGGAATTCTGCTATTTTTCCCGAGTCCTTGGGGTCAAGACCTTTAATTTAAGACCCCTCCCACTTTTCTGCGACCTACCAGACGTCCACAATTTTCTGGGAAAAATTTTGTCTTACAGAATTATATATAAGGACTAGCTGACCCGGCGAACTTTGTATCGCCTAAGTTATAGGTTTCCCCTAAGACAGACCGATGGAAAGAAAGTACCGTTACGTTTAATTTTCAAGATGATCTCGTTCGCATCGCTCAATCACGTCCTGGTTGAAGTTTGTTCGCTACGCTCACTCACCTTTGGGTTGGAGCTCGTTCGCTACGCTCACTCACCTTTAGGTTGGAGCTCGTTCGCTGCGCTCACTTGCCTTCAGGTTAGCTCGTTCGCTACGCTAACTCGCCTCCAGGTTGAAGTTCGTTCGCTACGCTCACTCACCTTTGGGTTGGAGCTCGTTCGCTACGCTCACTCACCTTTAGGTTGGAGCTCGTTCGCTGCGCTCACTTGCCTTCAGGTTAGCTCGTTCGCTACGCTAACTCGCCTCCAGGTTGAAGTTCGTTCGCTACGCTCACTCACAATGTTGTTTGTTTTGGTTGCAAATTAGCTGTTGTCATAAATGTAAAAGAAATAATAGTGCTGCACCCTGTTGGTAATCCTTGTAACTTTAATGCTATTGAACATCATAGAACAGAACCAACTTGTTTAATTGAAACAGCTGTTAAGATTCATTAATTCCATTTCTCATAAGGTTAACATGGGAAACTCCAGAGCCACTGGGGCGGAGCCCTTTTAAGAATTTCGAAACGGGAAATAGTTTACGTCCGATTCGCATACCTACAGAATTTACACACCAAATTTCATAACGATCGGTGAAGTCGTTCCGGAGGAGTTTGCAGACAAACACTGTGACACGAGAATTTTATATATTAGATTTGTCTGGTATTTACATGGCTAGTACTGATCCACAGAAATCTTTATACAACCTGAGAAAACCTCTCAAGTCTTTTTTGATACCAAATTTCATTGATTGTCGAAATATTTGTTGCTTTATGAATGTTACAATAAATATATTCCAAAGAGCTAATCTATATTATAACAATAGCAAGTGGTGTTTTGTGGTCTTTGCAGCCCTGCTGTGTTACAACCAATGGCAGCGGCAGGTAGTCAAGGACCAGGACCCGATGTTTGTCGGAGACTTCCTCGGCACTGCGATGGACATCCTCAGCAGATCCTTCCAGCTTCAGCAAGCTATCAGCCAGATACACAAGGATGAGAACAAGGCTCACTTCTCTGTACTGCCCAAGAAGATTAAAGTGGTCAGTTATTGCTAGAATAATCAGTTGCTAGAGTAATCAGTATAGGTAGTGTGGAATGATAATACAATGTTATGCTCAATGACCTTTATTTGTTAAATATATATTTACTAGAGGCTTTTCACCCTGTGAGTGACAAGATCAGTTTTTGTGTGTGTGTAATGCAATATTAATTCACAAGTAATATTTTTTACATATTTCAATGTTTTTTTTTAAGTTAATTTTTTGTGATGTTAATGTTATTTAAGGGAATATTGCATACATTTTCCGCCATGTTTATATATTTTTACAACGTTTTGAGATTTGGAATGTGATCCCGTCCTCAGGTGAGGAAGTACAGTCTAATACATAACGAGATATGACATAAAGTTATATAACATTATAAAACATAACAGCTAGAAAATCACAAAAAGAAAAATCACTCGGAAAACCATGTAGTATTTATATATTCTAAACCAGGAAACAATGTCAATGAATTGTATGTTTGTTGATAAATAGTAGTTTATGCAACGATTGCATAAATCTAGTGTTAAAGGCTTGTACCTTAAAAACTTCTACGAGTATCGTTAACTCTATTTACACTACTTTACCTACAACAGTGTTTAATTACTAAAAATCAGTAAGAGAGGTTATGTTTTCGTGTATATAACCTCTTATTGCCACTGACAGTGATGAAACAACAAAACATTGTACCAAACACTAATTGCACTGGTGGTCACTCAAAAATTAAATTGTCCTGAACAGCTAATTAGTTGAAATTTGAATCATTACAATTTTACTTCTTCTCTATCCTTGAACCTCATTGGTCTGTTACTTGTGTTGTTAATAATAAACTATGCTGTTATGAAAGTAAACAATGCTGTTATGAGAAACTTTTCAATTCTAAGAACTGTACTGAAACGGCTACTTAAAAAAACGTTCATAGGTAATTTTTTTACATGAATTTCATCAAGAAGTTACACCTTTTCATTTATTTTTTAATGTTTATAGTGCATATTTTTATAATAGTGTTACTAAGCATGTTTTTAAAGTTATTATTTTATAAATAAATGTACTCTTATATACTTTCATCTATACAGGGCCAAAATAAACTTCTCGTCCTATTGGTGGATCCTTTGGAACCAAATGATAATGTGCAGATAACCATAGATAAGAATGGACAGAAAATTGAAATTACATCTTTTAAGAAGCGGAACCCTTATACACTTCAGTTTGCAGTACCAGGTAAATATTGTATTTAAAGTATGTAAAAATTACTTTTAGATGTTAATTATTAACTTTATGTTTTTGTCTACCAAGTACAAGAATCAAATCGTAGCGATTTCATGAGGTAAAAGGGACATTTCTATTTTCTCAAATATTTTTTGTTTGCTTTAGTGTTTATCTATGACATTAAAATTTTTATGCTTGTGAGCAAAACAGTTTATTTGCAACTCCTGTTCTTTTTCGAAATAAGAATGGCCCTAAAACGATAATCTGTTTGATAGAAAGTACTAAATAGCCAAAATAGTAAGTACTAGTCTATAGTATTTTTTATTGTCACTTAGCTTGGAAATATAATTCTCATTTTATTATATCCCACATTCCTACATAGTCATCCTAGCAAATGTTATTGTATTCACCAAAAGCAGTTCTCCTTTTTATCTGTGTGTACCTAAGACAGAGGATATTCAATACAGATTTGTCATTGACTGATGGACCAATTTTAAATGTCAACCAGTTCTGATCCTTTTCAGGACCAAAATAACAATGTACAGGTCAGATCAGGTGAGGATGGTTTGTGTGTTGCTAGTGTAGTGGTAAGTGTTTCCGACTTTGGTAAGAAAAAGACACACTAAATTTTCAGCATTTCAATAAATAATTGGAGGAGTTTGAACCACTTCCGTTTAAAAGTGCTTGTAATACATTCTTTCAAAATTCCACTGGCGTAGACATTTACAGGAAATAACATAGGTATCTTCGTACTTGAAGACAAGCATTACTGCTACCCAATGTGACGCATGTTTCCGTTGCAGCCACATGTCTACAAGTATCCATGCTGGTGACGGTCGCTGTAGAGAAGAACGGCAAGTCCATTGGTCACAGGCTGGTCAAGTGCGAGAGCCGCATGAGAGAGCTGGACCAACTACTGCGCTCTTCTGACAACCCTCTTCAGTTCATATGTCAGGTGAGACACACATACAGGAGTTCATACAGATATGTCCAATGTGAGTGGCTGGATGTGTTGAAACTTTACCAATACACAGAAATTTAATATAGATAGTTACAAGACAAATAAATCTAAATTTATACAGATATTACAAAAAATTTTGATTCTTTCAATAAATATGTTGGATGCCTGCTCCATCTTCGAATTCTCGAGCAGATCTCCATTTTTTTCGAGATCTTCTCAGGCACATACTTGTTGCCCTTAAAATTGAGCAAGTCAGTCTCGTTCTGATCCAATTAACTACCAGGCTGTAAGGCTTAACCCATTTTTCTGACAATCTCTCAGCTAGTGCTCTTATTAGTGCTTGAAAGTCTTTGCCTAGGATTCCGCAGACTGATGTTATCAAAGGAGTAAAAGAGGCATTCCGGCTCTCACAGGCTGAAATATACTTTCTTTTCTTTTCTTCTTCTGCATTTTGTATGACATTGTCATGAGGTTTGGAAGCATATGAGGGAGCATCGGTGTCTACGACACGGATATCAAATAATGCTTCCCTCTGTGTCTCCCATACCCCTCTACATGCCAAGTCAGCTTTAATTGCAGGCCCGTTTGCATTTCTATTCTCTGCTATAAGGGGTTCTTTGATACAATTCCCCCATGCCTGTTCCATAATGTTTCCTAAAGCATCTCTAATTTCATTGTGTCGTTTGATAATTAGGCCACCTACAGGACATGTAAGGGCATGGTCTGTATTAAATTCTTTCCCACAGCCATCACATTTGGTTGGTAAATGGATCGGTGTCCGACCATATCTCAGTGCCAGGGAATCCCTAAATTCTTGGGGTGACATGTCTAAATTTAATTTCTTCAATGGTACACAGGATAACCAGCTGCCATGTTTTGATTTAGGGTCAGCATTTCGTAGAATTACATTTTGCCTTTGTAGTGAAAAATATTTTAAATTTTCATTTAATAATTTGTTTTCTTCAGTTTTCTTTTGTTCTCTATGGAACTTTAATGCTTTTTTTAAATACTTTTTTTAAATCTGTATTGAGGATTTATGATTTCATTCACACTGTTTTGTCGTTACTCTATCTGAATTAAAAGTAATATTTTAATCTCATCTGTGTTGAAACAGTTATCAAGATTTACAAAAGAGTAACCTACTTTTATGTTAATGGCCGAGTGGTGATATCAGGTTTTGTAACTAAATAAAGCGATTTCAGCTAAGAATTTTTTGGTTTTGAAAGCACAAAAAAATGGAAAAATTAGGAGAGACCACCACATGTATCATCCAACAGAATCTAATTAACAACTGCGCACTTCCCTATTGCCAGTCGCCACTCCACAGAGAGTGCTTACGCAGCGTCATTTTCGAATTTACAAGGATGTTTTAGAAATAGGTAGGCCCTACTGTTATTTGTGTGAGCATAGGGTTGTTGTTTCGGAAGAACAGCAAACATTTAAGATTTTTCACAACTCAAATTATTTCATCAGCACTATTTACTCAAATACATACTGTATCTGAATTCACATGTGTATTAATTTATTTACGAACTCGTATAATTTCAGACTCTAGGTCTGAGTCCAGGAGATAGAGAGCAGTTAGATGTTTTCCTAGCCGCTGCGTTTCAACAGAACTTGCCTCCACACTTCAATCTCTTGCGATCTGCAGGATTGAGATATCATTCAAGTAAGTGGAAAATGTATCTCTGTATTGAGGATTTATGATTTCATTCACACTGTTTTGTCGTTACTCTATCTGAATTAAAAGTAATATTTTAAGTCCTAAGCCAATTTTTTATTTCCCAGTTAGTTATTTTTTATGTTTTTCATAAACAAGCCAGAGGTGTAGATAAATTTGCATCATGTACACAGGTTGTGAGGAGTTTCCCACTCTGCTCCACTTTGCGGCCAAGTTCGGACTGGAGAAGTTGACGTGGCAGTTGCTGGAGTGTCCGGGGGGTGAGCAGGCCAGTCAGATCCGCAACTCTTGTCAGCTGACTGCGGCGGACCTGGCAGAGAGAGCGGGGCACGCTCGGCTGGCAAACACTCTTAAGGGTTTCCTGGTAATAGCCCCGTACAGTAACTAAGATTAGTGCAGATATTTAAAATTATTTTGAAGTAAAGTCTGGTTTATTTGAGATTTGGTAACTTTTCTTGCTATATATAACATTCCACTTAAACAGGATTTTTCCAACCTCCGGTCCAAGATCCACTGGTATGCAGAGGTCAAGTGGTATATGGTGAATATCTAAGTATGATCATCATATATCAGGATTGTTCGGGCTGGGGGGTCAACATTAGTTCATGACCTATAGGCACTAGTGTTTTCAATACGTTAGAACAAGGATGAGAATATTTTCGTAGTTTAACATTGAAAAGTATGTCACCAACTTGAAATATTAGCACTGAAGTAATATAAGTGAATTTAACTTTTACCCAGTGCCATTACTAGATATTGAAAATTTGCAAAAATCACTTCACGAAAAGTTTACACTTGTAATAATTGGAAAAGGGATTAGTTATTGGTTAGCAAAATAATAAATAATTAGAAGATAGGATATATTATGAATGCCCAAAGAAAGTGCATCTTGTTATCATCATTTAAGTTTAAACTATTTTACCAGAAAGATTTGCTCTAATGTAATTTTTTTTCCTTTTCTTTCCGTTTTGTGCTGTTGGTGTGGCCAGCAAATGACAGAACTATCCAACATGTACAGCTACCTCAAAGGCGTTTCAGAGAAGCAAGCAAACGACTTGGTCATGAGTAAGTATTTACCAATCTTTCACTTTTAGATCTGGTAGTTAAGTCCAAGATAGTACACAACAGAAGTATCTAGAACATTTTTTATGAGTATTATTATCTAGGAAGAAGGAATAGATGCATACAAGAGGTTCTACCCGCAAATCCACGGGTGTACAATTCAGAAGCCACAATTAAATTAGTTTAATTAATTTTGACTTTGTATTTCATTTAAAGGATCCAAGTTCAAGAAATTCCCATCAGAAGTAATGTTAAAATCAGTGGGACCTTCATACCTTACGTCCTGAGGTGGTTGACGTGGTTGTACCTGAACTCGCCGCTCTCTTTCACGACGTCCTGTTAAAGATCGGACTACCTCTTGGAAGACCAACAGACATGTTTTTTAATCTCATATGCATCGTCTTTCAAACATCTTAAAGCACTCACTTGTATCAAACAGCTAGAAATAGCATCAGTGTTCATTTACCACACTCCTTTGAACATAAAAAAGTAAATAATAATATACGTAAACAAAAGAGTAAATAAACAAACTACTGTCAATTTCATTGACCAGCTGTTTTCGATAAATTAGTCGAATAACATTTACACCTAAATCGTAAGGTGTAGCCGTTTGGAAATTGGCCTGTGGGGCAGAGCCTTAAGAGAATTCGTTCATGCCAATACTTTTCGGCAAATCTACACACTCTGAGCTTCATTTTCATGTGTATAATGCCAATAATTTTATTTGGTTAATGGCCTTAACCATTTAAATTAAATTTGATTGTATCACTTTGATAATATAATAGATACCTCTTAAGGAAAAGGTTTCCAGATACTGTAGTCTGATAGTGTGCATGAAATTTAAAAAAAATATCAAACATGTAGATACTATATTTTAACCCTCCAAGAAGGCTTCTTCGGAACGTAGTAGAATCCTTCTACTACTCATTTCTGAAGAACCTCCTTTCTGCTTTGAAAGGTTAACATATCAAGCTTAATGTGTTGTTAACTTCTGTGTGTCTTAAACTTCTTCACATTTGTTCCTTCTTCTTTACTATAAACAATATTTATTTTGTATTCTCTATTCTGTAAATTAGCTAAAAGGAAACATAACAACTCAAACATTGCTCTAAGAAAAGAAACACAAAGTAAAATTATAGTGTTTTATTTAAAAGTACCCCTCAATGACCTTCATCCAACCATGATCATTATAATCCAAACATTATTTGGTAAAATATCACATGGACTAGTTGTCAGATCAGAAGTTGTTAAAGACTATGGGTTATTTGTGTATATTTCTCCACAATTGAAGTTTTCTTTATGTATAATTATTTTTGTTCAAGTGTTTGAATCCAAATTGAAAAGTATTAGCTACTCCTGTTACTATTTTGGCTAAACTATTTTATTTTGTTTCCAGATTTCAACTGTACTAACTACCTTCTCCCTCGACCACTAAACAACACGTACTCCGTCCCACCTGCGGCACGCCCTGTCCTACACTCCCCTCCCCCCTCCACCCACCCCATGCAACATCAGTACACCAACGTAGATTCCTATCAGATCCCTCCGTCTCCTGTGTCGGTAGACAATTTTGACTACAACGTACCGTCGTTCCCTATCCCGGTACACTCTCCCATGGACAACTACCAGGTGCCAGGTCATGCCATCCCCTACAATCCCCCCACCCCTCCTACACCGTCTTCACCTCTCGATGTTCTTCCTCCTGGGGGATACATGGATATGCAGTCCCCAAGTGAGTATCTCCTTTGAATGTAGCTACACTGCTTTAAAGAAAATATTTAGTTTTTTGAAGTCAGTCTTAGAATCAAACTAAAATATATCCTCAATGGACAAAAAAGTATAGTCGAACCTCTATATGACGAACTTCAAGGGATAGGGGAAGAATTTGTATTAGCGAGTTATTCTTAATAAAGAGGTTTGTTTTATTGTTGTTTTATTTTTTTATTGACGTTATTCGTCTTATAGAGGTTTCTCCTCGCTGTGCCAACATTCCAAACAATGACTGAGGAAGGAAGAGGGATGGGTATGGGTTTAATGTTGAGACAAGATTCTGTTTATTTTGAAAACTACATACTATGGAGGTTAAGATCATGACATATTCGTCTTATACAGGTTGCATTCGTCTTTTAGGGGTTTTGTGCTAAGACTATTCGTTGTGAGGTTAATCAGTCCTAGCACATGCCACAAACGAATTCGTCTTGTGGAGGTTTTTAACCTAATTACTACGTTGTATATTTTAACCTAATTACTACGTTGTATAGAGGTGATTTAGCATTGACCTTAATGAAAGTTTTTAAGGGGATTAAAAAAAATTGTCTTATCGAGGAATTCATTTTACCAAGGTTCGACTGTATAAGTGAATTAGCTGGTATTTTTATTTTTGGTATTGACATCAGATCTGTCTTTTCTACTATTAGTATTTTTCCTAATATTAGTTCAGTTCTTTCCACCACAACTCTGCCTGTAAGGATCTTTGAGTAGAATCGTGTACCAAAACTTTGGTATAGTAATCACATGATATCTCTTTGTATAGACAACAGTACCGTTGGTTCGGCCAACCAGCTTAGGCGGAAGATGACCCTCAACCTGCCTCACCATGAGTATTACAATTGCTCTGGGACCCACGAGACTCCTTCAACTGCTGCCTACTTCCACAGTCCTGATGACACTATCTCCTGTGAAAGTACGTTACCAATCAATCTATTACATACACTACAACCTCGTTAAGTCGAATCAGTCGGGAATGCAACTGATCGGACAGCAAAAATTAGCCACAGAAAGAGGATGGTAAAAAAAATTATATTAGGAGGTAGTAACTTACTTGTATATACCTACTTATAATGATTTAATTTACTATGGAGAAAACACTTTTCAAATATTTTCAAGCATAAAGAGTAACAATTAATCACCACACAGGCACATTTATGCTATAGCCAGGCATCAGATGTCAAGTCACAGAAAACAAACTCAGTTGCGCAAAAATAACTGAAACACAATCATTGCTCAATTGTGTATTCATATAATAGCCCAGTCAATCTAGGTTTTTACCCGGAAATGCGAGATATAAAGCTAATTTTTTGCACAGATGTCCGTTATGGTATGTAAAATCACACCCTAAAAGTCCCCGCCCGTCCCCTGTTTGCTTCTTCCGGTATAAAGAAAAAGGGGGGGAGGGGGCGCAACTTATTTAAACGCACATTGAAGGTGATAACTTGAGTAATTTTGGTCCGATTTTGATAAAATTTGGCTTGAAGGTGAAAGGTGGGATAAACGTAAATGAGTTGCGAAATCAGCATAATCAGACCATGGGAACGGGTGTTTACGGGGGGTTTTATGAGGAAAAAATTGGGTTTTATGGGGTAAAAATGGATTTTTATCATTTTTGATCCTCAAAACACAAAAATTTCTAATTTCTTTCTGAACCATTTAAAAAAGCTTAAATGATCAAATATTTTAGTATAATGAAGTGTTTTTGTAAGGTTATTGGTTAGGAAGAAAATTTAAAAAAATTAAAAATTCCCATGTTATTCTTAAGGAGAGTAAGCTGTTGTAGTTTGCTTGTTTACGGATATATTTTGATCAAACTTGGAAAATAAACTTAATTTATAATAAGCTATTGATATTTTATTACAAACACACTTCATTACACTCCCTGTAGCAGCAAGCCTAGGTACTTGTTAGGCATAATGTTATTTCAATATATTTAATAAAAAATCCAATCGGGCAAATGGAAATTCACTTAGTCTGCAGGTTTGCTGCGGCGGGGTATTTTCATACAAAGTTGCACTTTCCTAGATTTACTTTATCAATGCTTTTCGTCAACACTACACTCAATTTTTTCCCTTAAAATGTATATTTGGCTGGGAATAGTATAAATAAACTCCGGAATAAACGTGGACAATGGTGTAAAAACATAACATAAGCATGGTATTCAATAAATAACATACAGGATACAGTAATATTAAAAAGTTTTACTATTACATTTTTAAGTAAAATCAGAAAAGATTACTAACCAAAAATAATATTTGTACAAAATATTGGATTAACCACCCTTAATATGAAACCAAATTTTTTAAGAGTTACATATGCACAACAGTAGGTTAAGCAATTGTATTGAACAGTGTGTTTTATAGCTACTATAAAACTGAACATTACTAACTATCAACGTCTTCTTCCTCTAAATCAATTGTCTTCAGTGTGTTGTTGCAGTCTCTACCTTGGCAATGAGCACACATTGCCGAACAAGCTAATCCTGACCTTATGCAATCACACGATCGGGCACACTCTTTCTTGCAATCACATGTAACGAAATTCAAGAGTATATCAGGTGCCGGTGGCAAAGTCATAGATTGAGGTACAAGAACGCCGTCTTTTTCAAGCCAACCCCATGAACATGGATCCAGATCCTTCCCAAGCCATTTCTGCACTTGATAGTAAACCCGCAAAGTGTGTATCCGCGTGCGTGCGGCATCCGAAGTAGGCGGTAAAACTGACAAATCAAAGCTTGAAGTAATTTTCTGTCTAGCTATCAGTTTATTGAACATAAAGTACCTTAGTTCATTTAATGTTTTGCACTTTGTATCTCCGTATATTGCAAGAAAGTATTGTTCTCCACATGATGTTAACTTGTCAGGCTGAGCAGTTGAATCTTTAAAAACATCTGACATTTTTTGAAGTTCCACATTTTTTTCCAACACTTTCCAGGGCACTTTTTTCCCTTTTCTAAACGTTGCGGATGTTGTATCGCATCCAGAAAATGCGTGTGCAAACAGTATACAGTCTTTCATATTGCCTAAGTTACTACTTATTTCAGTTACTGGGTAAACTTTGTAGGAACCTTTTTTACTGCCTTCTGGTTTGATGAAGAACAATGTATCTGAACTTTTAACTCCATGGACAAGAAGTGCTAGAAGATCAGTGTCTGTACCCACCACAGCTGTTTTCAGACCTTCAGAACACTGTTGAAGAGCTGTTGAAGCAATCAAAAAGTCAGCATCTGCTGCAGCTTGTAGAACAGAAAAGCCAGCTCGATCAAAGTGTGATTTTAGTTCACTTATAAGTCGGATTTTATTTGCAGCATTACCGAGAAATTCAGCCTGAGTTACTGATGCTGTCATGTTTGAGTCGAAATGTATTGTTCTTGATGGAATTCGACAAGCTCTTCTATCTTGTTCTTGATACTTTGTGGTCGCTGGTCCCTCATAGCCATCAAAAACTATTGTTACATTTGAACCGTAATGGGTGCGAATAAATTCAACATATACTGAAATTATTTGCCCATATGTGGCAGGCTTGGGCCAAACAACATGATGAAGCAAATGTCCTCCGTCCAATACATAAACACAGTCTTGAGGCCAACTATTAAAGGTAGGTGTGCTCATCTCTATAATATCACAAAGTGCTGACTTGGCTGTTTTTCTCATCGCTGCTCCGTTAAAGAGAGAAGGTGGCCTCGGAGCCAATTCAAAGGCCATGTACTCTTCATAATCAGATGGTGATTTTAAAATACACGATATTCTGAGGAACAGTTGATTCGGATTCACTTCTATAACATCGTGACCTCTTACTTTGATCGTGGCATAAACAGCAGCAAGTGGAGTAACTTTACTTTTTCTTTTTAGTTTAAAAAAAGTATGGCCAGTCATTTGACTCATTGCAAGAAGTCCTGTTTCTGTGGCGGTTTCCGGGTTTATTTTGGCGTCAGCAACTGTTCCAGTTGACAAAGAAATCAAACCTCCATTTATGTCAACACTGAAAGGCGAATGTGACTTTAGCCAACAAAGTAGTTTGTATAAATCGTTATCATCTCTTGATTGCCGAGCATCTCGTAGCTCAACATGTTGTTCTGTAGTTCCAGAGTTTATATGACACAATTTTTCAAAAGCATTCGTGACAACAGAACAGGCTGGACGTGCTAGGACAAATTTTGCCAAGTTACTGTCAGTGACGCCTCTTCCATGGATAAGTCCACCTGATACTTTCAAAGAACGCATGAGCTCCTGCTCAATCACCATATCTGTCCAGTTTCCACCCCAGAACCTTTCTGTCCTACGAACCGAAAAGAAACCTAAAGAAATGAATATTTCATACTCTTCTTTAGTTAGAACCTGTGGTAAATCTTCCATTTCCTGGACATAGTGGTGCGCATATTTTGCATACTGGAGGTGTCCTGAGGAATGGAAGTACGGAAGCATTGCTTTGATGCAAGATATATGAAGCATAAAGTCACCAGTACGCTCCGATCTTATGTAAAGGCGTATTAGAGAAATTAATCTAAAATATAGCACCCACAATTTTCCTGTGCGACTACGAGTTTCTTCTTCATCACATGTTTGGTTTAATGCTGTTTCTAGTCTTAGCAGTGATTTTGAAGCACTAACATCTTCAACCTTAGTCTCATTTGTGAGGAAGTCAGAGTGGAGTTTTTTAAGTACAAGCAAGTCCTCCTCTGGTACTTTGTCTACCATCTCAAGAAGAATAATTCCCAGCGCCAACTGTGTCAAAAAGTGAGCCCGCAGTGCTCTAGCATAAGCATGCCCAGTTATCATATGTGGGATTGAAGATTTTGCATAAATTTCCATCCAAATCTCTTCAAGACCACTACCACTCATTATGTAGCCTACGGCTCCCAAAAAAGACATTAAAAGGTGAAAACCACCTAATCTGATTATAACTTTGTCAAGAGTACTTTTTGAGTCTGGAATTGAGGCAATGATATCCACAGCTTTTGCATACAGAGGCTGGTCAAATGTCACAAAGCAACTTTGTTGGCCATTTTTTCTACATTGTTCAGCTGCAAATTGTAATGCCGTATGGATCGTGCTCAAGTTGCTTGGATCAAGGTTGATAAAAGGAACTGGTTCTATGCTGCTTTTCACCCCAAAACCAGATCCTTGAAATGCTCCTTGCATATAACCATTCCAAGACGGCCTAGGACACAGCCTTTTCCAAGAGCCCACCATCCATAAAACATCGATGGATGTACTAAGATTTTCATTTTTGGGGTCAGATGGTGAAGATATTTCTTTTATAACTTTACTTTTCAGACCTGATGTTGCAGGTTTTTTATACCAAGAAATCTGAATGGAGCCCTTTGTAGCTATTTCTGCAGCTGTTGGAACTGATAAGATTCGTGTGACGTTGCTAGGCTTAGTCGTATTTTGAGGAGTAGAACATATAATACCTCCCATTGCGTGAAAGGTATTTTTTCCATCTAGTGTTCGGATGTTTACATCCGCGTTATCATATACAAACTGAATGCAGCTTTTTGAGGAACTGTCTACCGTGTTTTGTACCATAAGTGAGTACTCATAACGCTGTACTTCAGTATAGCTTGCTCCAAAACCAAGTCTATTTAGAATATCAACCAAAAGCCTAGAACCATAGTGGTTATGGACATACATGCTCAAACCAATCAAAAGAGGCGATAAGAAAGAGCGTGGCCTGCATGCACTTATAATAGCATGGCTTATCGCAGCTTTTTTTAGTTCAATATTTTCTTTATTTGTGCCCTTATGTTTAACTACAACATTAAGAAATACTTTAAGGGACTGTGGTATTGAAGACGTCAATTTTTGTGTATCTATGCAATCAGGGTGCAATGCAGAATACTCACGGAGATTGTGAACGAAACCACGAATATCTGATCTAATTATTTCCGCAGCTGCAGAAACTATCCTCAGTTTCTCTTCTTCGGGATTGGATTTTCTGTCTTCATGCCACATGTCTTGTAAAATTCTATGTGTTGCCATTCGGAAGCTGATTATTGTACTGCGCCCAGGTAGGTCAGTAATTATTACATTAGAGCCGTAATAGTCATTAAGTTTGTTTTTTAGATGTTTAGTCGTATATCCATCTTTTCCGTCTAAAAAGGTGTCCATGATATCTGAAAGTTCTCCTAAACTGCACTGACACTCGTCGTTTTCATTTAACCAATTACACAACTTTAAAAAGGCATCATGTTTGTAATAATTATCATTGAACTTCGTAGTTTTATTTAACTTAAAAAACTTAGATAAACAGTTGCCATGGTAAATGGCCTCAGCAGCAACTAGATCACTGGCTGCACGGACCCGTGCGTCTACTTCTCTGCTCCAATCATCACCACGCATGCAAGCAATGTCGAGAATTCTAGTCTGCACTGTCAATGTTTCAACGTGATGAGCTGTATTCCTATAATTTAAAGGAAGTTTTTTTATTGCTTGGAAATCTATATGCTTAGCACAGAATAAACAATGAGTTTTAATATCGAAACCTTCAACTTCTGTAGATCTTGTTCTATACGAGATTGACTGTTCACTTGAAACTTCACTTCCAACATGTTTAGATATATACTTATTAATGCTTGTAGGTCTAGTATAGTTCTTTCGGCAAACATCATGAACCTTTAGTTCTGTAAGTGTACTGAACTTGTCATGTAAGCCATCTCTGCGATTTTCACTTGCACTTTTAAGTCCTACTACACCTTTCTCAGTTACGCTTACAATTTTCAGTGTGTTATTAGAATCATGAGCAGTACCAAAGCCATGGGCACACAAAAAACAATCTATTTCCATATTAAATACAAAAAATACAACCAATCTGAAAGTACACTAACATTACTTCAAAAGAAACGCACGCATTAAACGCGAAAGATTGACAAAACGCACGTACTGGGTGTAAACAGAACGGACACTCCGCTAAATCAATCATTCCATCAATCAACAATGAACGCAGGCAGGGTCCACTTCCGGGCCAACCACCCCCAACCACTTCCGGGCCAAGCCGAACGCTTCCGAACCATACCGAAAATAGCCGAGGTCTTTTAGAACCCCTTGTATCGTCTGTCTGGAAACGGCACAGCGGAAAATCGGAACGGAGCATCGGAGCGATTTCTTCCAATCCCGACCCCTCTCACTAATAGGAACTGAGTAGGCGTTTAATGATGTAATTAATTATTATTTATGAATGATTACTAGACTAATTATTATTGAAGGTTTCAAATACCTTCAAAGTAATCCTTCGATCTTTTTAATATATAATATAAAGTAATTATAAAAAAATTCTCCTTTATATCCTGGAAAATAAATTGTGGAAATCAATCTACCTATATTTATGCAAACATTCTAAATAAATGTTGAAACATACTCCATAGTTGAATGCAATATGTGGAAATATATTTTTTTTATTTTGTATACACAATGCTAACAAGTCAGTAATACTTTTTTCAAACATATAGGCTACCTTATTCTAATTTATGTTCGTTTTTCTAACCGTAGTATTATCTAAATTTATTGATCAAATAAATAATTAATAAATATTAATTAAATTAATATTGTAACTATGTTACTCGTAATTTCAATGAATTATTAAATAATAAAAATAAAGGGAGAAACAATTTTTATTTTATGCCATTCTAAATATACAGATAGGCCTATATAGAGCTATGAACAAGAATATAGTAATTTATGCCCGATGTTAAATAACTGAAGATCATTAAAAATTATTTCTTCTACAAATAATTCAACAATAACATTCACATTTATTTACATAGTTCTATTTACAATCTCCTTCACCTTGGTAACAGGAACATAACATTTTAATGTTTGACCTATTTTAAATGAGGAAATAACTCGGGCATTTTGACAGCAACAGTGACAGACGACTTGCCGCGTACGTTTCGGCTATGCTCTGTACGATTCGGATGAGTGTTCAGATTCAGCACTGCGTGGTGGTGGCGGTTTTTCCTCCAAAGGTCTCGTTGCAGGGTGCAGGTGCAGTTATAGGTTGTAGACATGTAGGCTACAAGGGTGCATGCACGACGCGCCGTCAGAGATCGTTGCGCGCCGAACGCGTTGAATCTTGTGAGCGATGGTTGTGTCTCTACCGCATCCGCACCGCGACCGCTGACATCGCACCGTGCCGGAATCCGGCTTCAACACTAAACCGATTATAGCCTATAAGTTGTGTGTACTTTATTCAAATGTTTAAGAGCTTTTACATTTTTACATTAAGAAATAACACACGAATTATATCATTATAACATAATTTCAAGCTAAAAAAAGTAGGTAAAAAAAATAATTAATTAGATTTAATGTTAAACGGTCACAGGTATCACACTTAACCTCATGACCTTTTATTGACGGACACATTTTACTGCATCTAAATCCGTTTTTCGTATATCTGTATATCTTACCGATCTCAAGCATTGCGCGTTTAAGCATTGACTATATAACACTGGTTTAAGTAATATTCGCCCCCCTCCCCCCCTTTTAGCGAATTTCCCTATAGGGAAGTAGCTATTACCGTAGGTGGCACGGTAAGACCTAGACCCGGGACCGATTTACTTGTTCATTTTGATGTCCCCAGAGGCCAAAAACACAATTCGTTCAAATTTTTATATATGTATATATATATATATATATATATATATAGACTTATATATATATATATATATATATATATACGTCCGTGAACGCGATAACTTGAGTAATTTTTGTCCGATTTTGATGAAATTTGGTTTAAAGGTGTAAAGCGGGATAAACTTGAATGAGTTCGCTAACCAGCATGATCGGACCATGGGAACGGGGCTTTACGGGGGGTTTTATGGGGTAAAAATTGGTTTTTCTCACTTTTGACCCTCAAAACACAAAATTTCCCAATATCTCTTTAGACCTTTTTAAAGAGCTTAAAAAAACAATTAATTTAGTATATAAAAGTATTTTTGTTCGGTAAATAGTAACGGAGAAAATTAAAAAATTGTAAATTTAAAATTCCCATGTTATTCTTATGGAGAATATTGTAAAATGTTGTAGTTTGCTTGTTTATGGATATATTTTGTATTTCGATCAAATTTATTTATTTTGTACTAAGCTATCAATATTTTACAAAAAAACACACTTTATTAGTATCCTTGTAGCAGCAAACCTAGGTACTCGTTAAACCTAATGTTATTAAAATATATTTAATTGAAATCAATTAAGACAAATGGAAATTCGCTTAGTCGGCAGGTTTGCTGCGGCAGGGGTATTTTCTTTATACCGGAAGAAGCAAACAGGGGACGGTAGGGGACTTTTAGGATATGGTCAAGGATATCATAAAGAACATCTGTGCCAAAATTCAGCTTTATATCTCGCATTTCCGGGTTTGCATGATTTTTACCTAGATTGACTGGGCTATAAAGGCAATAGTACAGTACTACTAAAAATGCATATTTTAAAATATATATTTGTATTTGTTGCAAATCGGTCTAAGGTGTATGGAGATTAGACTTAAAAATCTTTGATTTAACAAGGTCTTAATGTCAGCGGAACTTTTCTTTCTTTTAGTAAAAGAAAGTTCTAAGCCCTACTCTTGTTACTAATGTCAACCTGTTGTTAGAAAGCATTATATAACACAATAAATAAAATTGCAACTTGGTCCAGAATAAATCCCACAGGTTCAATCGGGCTATTTTCATATTTGTAGGCAAGCACTACTACTTTATGACCACTCTTCTATCAAGACCTAGGTAATATTGCCAGTTAAATCAATTAAAAACAAGATCCCACGTAAAAATAATTGCAAGGGTTCAAATTCTAAACCACAGAATTGTAAGTACAAGGAATTTTTTATGTTTAAAAGATTGAATCAAACTTTTTTATTGAACGTTAGCTCTTGATGCTAAATTACATTCATATGTTTTCTGCAGGTAATGTAAACCGACACAGAAACAGCAGCCACAGCAGCAACAGTGGGAAGTCGTCAAGTACCAGTGCGCAGGACGAGCTTGCGGAGATCATCAACGACTTTAAGAACAATGTGTTCACCATCGCTGAGGTTGAAAAACTTGTAGAAAACTGGCAGAACAGGCATGATGTACAACAGTCCTTTAAGGAAAAGCAGGTATGGTCTAGAGTCAAGTTTTCATGGAGTAGGCCTAGATGTTTGTTGTAATTAGGTCTTCCTAGCACAATTTTTAGACGTAATTTACAAAGTGACAGTTGTAAAGTTAATATGCGTTGAACTGTCATCTAGCAGTAGAAGATGTGGAAATGTGACGGATTTTGAGACAATCTGAAGCTACCTAGCAAAGAAGCAGTATTAAGATCTGATTAACTTATCGAATGACAGTGGCAAACCGTCCAAGTTTCGGGAGGCCTCTTGTTGGCGTTCTAAAGTTCTATTGCTTCTTCTAAATTGTTTATAAAATCAGTACAAAATGGTTGCCGTCCCAAAGATGATAACTGTCGAACTGGGGTACTGGGCTGATGACTCAACCAGCCATGTAAAAACTGGTGGCGATTGTTGCAAATCCTAGAGTGGTGGCGATTGTCAGTGGTGGTGCTATTATTACATATTCACAGCAAACATGCTCATGTAATGTTGTGGGTTTGAACTCTAAATGTCCACCTCTCTGTTGGTAAAAATGCCAAACCAACTTTATATAAGCTCTCATTCTCTTAAAAATTTGTTTAACCCGTTTAGTAGGATTATTAATTTCTGCTACAGTGATTTATCAAGCAAATTATACGCCTGTTCACACCGGCGTCACCATCATCTTTGGTGTATTAATACATCGCCCGCATACTGTTCACACCACTTGCTACGTCTGGCTACAAAGCCAGCTACCACCGCTGCCAGCACCACACTCCAACTGCTCAAAAATAAAGATCATACCTCGTGCCCATAGTAGATCCTGGAATGTTGTCCTATTAAATACCTTGGTGCGATCCTGCATTCACCCTGCCATGGACTATTATCATTACCCCCTCCTAAACTGTACGCAGTGATAGCAGTGATAGTGACGAAAATCTGATGATGTTATATCCAGCATCCCAAAGATCTAAATGGACCCATCCACAGAGAAGTAAGGAACAGAGGAAACACTCCATGGTACACTTAAAGTGGCGTCTAGAGAAAGTTCCCGCACCGCTACCCCTTGCCCTCATGTAATCCGCTCACGGCGGAGAAAGACCCTGTGCCCTGTGCAAAAGGAATTCCCGCACAGGGCTTGCCGTTCGGGCTCTTCCTTGCTCATCACAAGTAAATTTCCACCCCAACATACCAGAGCTGAAAGCTTACAGTTGTCCCATTAGTGTGAAATGATATTTATTCGTCTATGTCGTGTTTCCTTTGTACCTTACTTCTCTGTGATCCATCGGATGATCGAAGAAGTAATCAATTTGATGAATTTCACCATCTAATGAATGATGTAATGATGTAATGACATCCTGGAGGGTGATGGTGACAGCCCAGGTTGATAGTATTAAGACGGCGATGTGAACATGCTCCTTTAAATAACACCAAGAGCGAGTCAGTGACGTCTTACGAAGACGTAATAAGACGTCTGTCGACGTTGGTGTGAAGATTTTTTAAGATGCATGATAACGTTTGCAAATGGAAAGTTAGTTTTAAGTAGTCCTTTAGAAAATTTCCATTACGATTACCTTTATTATTTTCAATCTGTGCAAGTGTCCCAATGTCTTGAATATTTTTTTAAATTTTACAGAAACAGCTGAATGAAATGAGAGAAGAGTATGAAAGGATTCAGCAACAAATGAAGGACAACATGAAGAGAGCCACTCCTTTTGAGAGGATCAGGAAATTTTTCACCAGAGGGAAAAACAAAAGTGAGTATAGAGACAGATTACAGTACAAAACATCTATTCTTAACCTGTTCTAACCAGTCTGTTAGACTGACATATATTTTTCAAGCAAGAATTATCCATCCTGTAAACACCAAGGGAACCATAAACAGAAGAGTTTTGTCTGTTCCTGATATATTTCTGAGTAGTCGAGTTGAACGTTTCATTATATTGAGAGTAGGCTACTACCACTAACTTTTTACATTGATGCTTATTTAATAAAATCTTTAGTAACAGGAGGTAACTAACATTGATGATCCCTAAAACACACAGGATTAACAGAAATAGACATACGGAACAGTATAGTGCAGTAGTAGAATTTTGGTCTTATGGTCTAAGGTTTACTTAACGAGTAGTTATATAACATTACGGTAAAAACCTCAATCAGACCTCTCAAAAAGTTGAATTTAAGTTTGTTGTTGCAAATTGACAAATATTTTGCAATTGTCCTGTTTTAGTCAATGGGTTTACCCTGCTCTTAATGGTACAGTAATCTTAGTAAAATTATGTTTCTAGTTTTTTTTTATATTAAATCCATTCAGTTTACTACTTCCTACTTATTATCAAGTACTTGAGAGTAATCATTTCGTACCCTGTTTTATCAAATAGCCCGTGTAGTTTATAAGTTCCCAGATTTGTATTATAATCCTGTGTCTTAAGTGTTGACTAACTCTATGTTTATCAGATTGTACAGGAGAGTGCAAGACCAAACCACAGTCTGCTAGCAGTTGTAGCAGCTCAGCAGCCGTGTCTCACCGCCCTGCTAGCAGCCTTAGCCTTCAATCCTCCTGCAGTATGTATCACATTACATGTTAAATATGTACATCAAATCTTAGATGATTTTATTTATCAAATAGCTCTGGTATACCACAGTCTGAGAAAAACACAAATGAGCCTGTGAAACACACCAAAGGCGATAGGCTGAAGTGCCCCTTCTAAGAGTAAGTAAACTCACTCTTCACACGCCTTAAAGCGGGTCGCCTCGGATATTCTGAGGCTGGATATGCGAAGAATTGGACAAACAGTAGTACTGATTACCGAACACAGTCAGTTTAGAAAACATCTGCAACGTATAGGTTTGTATGATGCCACTCTAGGGAATGTGATATAGCAGAGGAAACAGCTGATCACCTGTTCATTGACAATGAGGAGCTCTCCGAGGTAAGAAGGACAACTCTTGGTAATCTGGTAAGAGAGTCAAGTTCCCGAGGAAGAACTGATTGGCCCTTGGTAGACTACAGGCATTTCTCAGATGCCTGGATATTTAAGGTCTTTTAATCAAACAACTCATTGGGGTTTGCAATAATTCAACAAATTTCTGATGAAGTGCATTGTGGCTTCAGCTGCTGTACCTGCAACTTGCAAGATAAAATAACTACAGTCTGTGTGATGGAGTTAATTCTCACAATATAACGTGTACATAGGATTTTCATTTTTCAAAACAGTCTTAATTTTTATGTTTACTTTATAAATGAAAAATATTCATTGCATTGTAACATGTGAAACAGATATACATGTTAAGGTTTATTAAATCTATAGTGATTTCCTGATGGATTTTCTTGGCTTTTTCATTTAGGATAGTAATTTTACCGTTTTACCAAAGTTGGTTTGGAAAAATTTCTCTTTAATTACCAGTTAAACTAAAAAATTGAAATATTTCCTTACTACTAAAAATCTTATTACTAAAAATTGTCTCACTGCGACATGACTAACTTGATGTTTTGTTTCATGTAAGGTTCCACGTCTTCTGGCCGCATGAGTACAGGAAGTGGCTCCAGTCTAGGAGACTCTGGGACTCATTCCGACTCTGACGACAGGAAGACCTCTGAGGTAAAGTAGATCAGATTTGTTACAGGACACATGTTACATTAGTTCAAGCTTAGAAGGCTTGTTGTAGCGTGCATGACACTTAATACCTCTCTAAGTGTATGTTTGATATTTTTTTCATCAAATTTAACCCAGTATGTAGAGTACGAAAATTTAAGCATAGCAAAAGTTCCTCTTAATTGGTTTGAAAGGGAGGTCCTCATCTCTATTTGTCGGCAAGCAAAGTCATTTGACCTTTTCCACTAAAATTGAAGACCATTGTTGCTCAGAATATCTATATCTATATCTATATCTATATCTATATACTTATTTAATACGCAAGCAGATTTTTTGTGACAATTACTCCTCCGAAACTACTGAACCGATTGTCATGTTTTTGGTGTCATTGGAAAAAGCGTAACTTGAAGTTGTGCAGGAAACTTTCTTTTTAGGGAAATAATGAGAGAGTGAAGCCCTGGAGCCCTTTAAAGTTTCGTATTTCTCCATAAGATTAACATTTAAAACAAAAATTGTTATGAAACTCCAGCTGTTGTCAGAAATCAAAAGTGAGAAGAAGAGCATATGTTAATTGTAAACAGTCAATAAGTTTGCTAATTTAACAGTTTGCTACAAACATTTGCTGACTTGGTTGAAATTTGTTTTAAAATAACGCCTGTAATACTTAGCAATTGCTCGAATTCGAGCAACAGGGACACTAGTACTTCTAACATCTCATATAGTTGTACATTACACAAATTATCAGTGCTCAATTTGTAAAAAATGAGGTACCAGAACTGTAATCTGTTTAATATGAACTCATTTATACCAATCTTTTATCTTTCCAAAAGAGAGGTAGCGGAACTCCGTTCTACCGCATTCCTCCGCAAATCGAGCACTGCCCTTGATAACTTAATTCCTTTTCTTCAGTTATGTTTATTTTTGTTGTAAGATAGCTAATTCTATTTGGGCCACAGATATAACTTTTGCTCAATAACACTTTTAAGTTTCTTTCATTGTGAAAGTTACTGAAATACTAAAGTTAAATTTGCAATACTATAGTAACAATAGTCAATGAATTAACTAGTACCGTTATATTATAACTTATTATAATTATAGTTATTTCCTTGTTTCAGGGCTCAAAGAACGATTTGAGGTCAAAAATGTTGGCTGGGAGACTCTACATGGAGATTCCACAAAGAGACTTCACCAAGGAACATGAAGTAGATGAGAAACACAAGCTTCTAGAATCATCAGGTTCAGGACCCAAACCTTGCTTTTTGCACAGAAGTAACTCTTTGATCCAAGAAACAACAATAGTAGAAGAAGTGGATGAAAATCCAAAATCTCTTGAAGAAACGCTGTCAACATCTTTAGTCGATAAAGAAATAACAATGGTTGATGTCCACAGCATCCCTTGCGATACCTGCGGGAATCAGACAGAGCCAATGTACGCTCAGGTGAAGAAGCTTCCCTTACCTCCGGGATCTGTGAAGAAAGAAGAAACTGCTGAAATTGCCACTAGTAATGAGAACGTAGTGAGAAATGAAGAAAAACTTCCCGAAAGATTGATCATCATTGAGAGCGATGAAGATGCCAAGAAAGCATCAGAAAGTTCTGAACAAAGTCAAGATACTCTTTGTAACTCTAGTCAAACTCAACAGATGGACTCTGTTCAAACTCTGTCAAACTCTGTTGATTCACCTGATTCATCGGAAAATAACCACTTAAACGGATCAGAAATAAAAGAAGACTCTCTTGATGATAAATTGACTTTTGAAGAGGAGAATGAAAATGGCTTTGTGAAAAATATGGTGAACTTTATAGAGAATGAGCACAATTTCAATGTGTTAGATGATGAGATTGACGATACTTGTGAACATTTATTGGACGAAGCCGACACTGAGGTTGTGTTTGAACTTCCCGACTACGTGAATGTCACTTCTCCACCAATCCCTCCTCGACCTGCATGCGGAAATGTATCTACCTAAGTATTTGTTTTTGTCAATGTAAATATTTTGTACAGTATTCCAGCACATTGCACCACTTTTGTTTCCTAAGTACAATTGTATATAGGCTAGTCGTCGAGTTTTATTTTTATACAAAGTTTATTAGTATTCACAATGTATTTATGTTCCTTGTAATATAGCTAATGTATGTTTAAAAAATTCTTTATATGAAAATGATTAAAAAATGTACTTTTCCACCTTTTACATGTTACTTTTATATTTTTGCTGTCTTAATACCAATATGATAAATTCTAGTATTTCAAATAAGAAATAGAGTTGGTCATGGTCATACAGAATTAAAAATTGGATCACAAAAAGGGTCATGCTCTTAACATTATAAAGTTGCATACAGTAAAAAACATAGTACCTATAACGCTATAACATAAGATGAACTTAGCATCACCAATCAATCAATCAATCAATTATTGAGATGGGGGCGCCACCTAGGTGCATATTTTAACCCAAATATGAGTGAAGGATGAGTGTAGAATGGTGTGGTGGATGACCTGTGTAGCTTTGTTACTGACTAAGATCAGCGGTTTCATTAGTCAGGATCATTTATTTAAAGCCCAATGATCAGGAACAGCTGGGTCCAGTTTCGAACCATCAAAAAGCTACTAACTTTTCTCAGGATCGAACCGGCGACCTTTTGATTACTAGGCGAGCACTATAACCACTCAGCTACCCACCAAAATGAACTTAAAACAAAGGACGGTTTTAACACAGTTATGTAACTAGTATAGGTAAGTATAAATACAGTCGAACCTCTATAAGACGAATTACAAAAGGGGTAGGGGACAAATTTGTATCATTGAGGTATTCTTAATAAAGAGGTTTGTTTGTTTTATCGAGGTTAAATACTGCCTTTATTCGTCTTATAGAGGTTTCTCCTTGCTCTCAGATAACCTCTATAAAGGATACTGAGGAAGGAAGAGAGATGGGTGGGGGTTTCGTGTTGAGACAAGTTGCTGTTTGTTAGAGGTTAATATCATGATAATTTTGTCTTATAGAGGTAAGATGAAAAATCTTCTTATCTAGGAATTTGTTTTACCGAGGTTCGAACTAACTAGGTTCGACTGTAATTGAAAACCAATTTTTTACAAGGTTCTTATACTTTTACATATAACCGTAGGTCTGATGGTATTTTTAATATATCAGTGGCCAGGAGATCAAAGCCAGAACATTTTCTTAAAATGATTTAACCCTCATATTCACCATAACTCCATTTTTGAGTATTCCCAATTGAGATGGGGACGCCACATCGGTGCATACTTTAACCCAAATATGAGTGAAGGATTAGTGTAAAATGGCGTGGGATGATCTGTATATCTTTGTTACTGAGGTTAGGTTAGTCGATTGAGGTCATGCAAACCACCACAAACATTTCATTAGTTGATGTGAGCCAACTTTGCTTCCTACAAATTTTCGGAACTATGTAATAGGTGGAATGAACTCACCCAGACAGCACGTGAGCTTGGACTAAACTTGGCTTTTACATATTTCTGAATTGGTATGACAAACTTGGAGTTTGGAACCCACTGCAAATTTAAAACAGCTTTGGTTAAGTGAACTTGTGCCAATGAGCCAAAACTAAACTTGCTTTATTTACATATATAACCTGGTTGGCCAAGTCCACAATTTAAACACCCAACCAGACCCACGACAAGCTTGTTCATGTGAGTCTAAAGTGAGCAGTGCCATATGACAAAAGAATTTTCCCTCCACACCTACCCACAACACGCTCCTAAAACCTGTTTCTTTGTGCTGAACCACCATTTTTGTTCTAGGAGGATTAAACATTAAGGAGAGGGCACGCGAATAGGAATACACATGTTGCGGTGAAGCCAGCTTTAGCAGAACACTAGAGGGGCACGCGGAGCCGTAGGGTGGCAAAAAGCCGCGGCTATAACATGGGAGAGATAGGGAAAAACGCGACGCGCGCTGTTTCGAATTAAAATTGTCGCTAGACTAAAACACCTGTGTTATTCACCGATGGCATTCTTAAAGTAAATTAAATTTCCTATCGAACGGTGTCAATCATTTCTATAAACACTATTGTTTATTATTTATTACTGAAGATCAAAGTTGAAAGAATTGGCCTGGACTTCTTAGAACACATCATTACATTAATTACGTTTTTGAAAAAAATATGATGTATCTATACAAATTAACAATTTATTCGTATTCCTTAATAGTTTCGCGAAATAAAAAATATATATTTACCTATATTTAAGAGTGGTTTTTAGAAAAATAATTACAATAAATCTTTTTTAATTTTTCCAGTCTATAAAACAATCTTACTAATTATATAGATTAAAATGAAAAATTTAATTCGGGTGGTGAAATACATTTTAAATTTGCATTTTTCATAGTTCTCTCAATTTTTTAATACTATGTTTTACTAGTTTTAAGGGATTTATGTGCTAGGCAGGTGATTTTAAATAGCTAAAGTTAAGAAAAAATGTAAAGCCGCTCTAACTTTTTTTTACACCAACAGCCGTTACAATTAAATTACAAACATAAAAAGTAAAACAATTTCTTGGCAATCAAATTCTAGATTTTTAATATCATATTGAACTATATTTGATCTGTTTGCCCAAAGAAACTTCAAGTAAAAAGTGTAAAATGTTCAACTATCATCGCGTCTTCTGACGCCAAAGTGCGTTTATCATTCTTTTAAAGGATTAAAACTTATTTTATATTCTAATATTATGGTTAGAATTTAAGTTTTTAATTTTCGTAGCATGATGTAGTCTAAGTGTTAAATAGTTAATTGATATTTCTGTTACCAAATCTTCCAGTAACGCATACAACGCAGTATGAGAGGGGGCGGGAGAGTAGCGCTGCCTCCCCCCCACCCCACCAGTACGCTGGCTTCAACGAAACTACAGCGTGTCCTCTCCTTAATGTTTAATCCTCCTAGTTTTTGTTGGATTTAGACTTCCTCACTCTCAGTGTTGTCAGTTCTCTTGGTCAGTTCTCACTTATAATTTGGTGTTGTGTTGTGAGTTACTCGTTTCGTTGCTAGTCGTGAGTTTTGTTTATAGTTTTGATACCAAGACGAAGCGGAGAAGAACTAAGGGAATCCTGTAAAGGTAAGATTTACACTCCTCTTATAAAATTAAGCATTAATAAAAAATATACTTGTGTTGGTTAGTCTATGATGATAAAGTAAGCCAAATTAAGTAAACGATTAATTTCATTGCATCAAGAACTCGTAGAATTTTGTTTATAGCCTAAAACTTTTGTGCTTTAATCTTTGTCATACTCAGCGCTTCACTGAATCGACAACGTCACTCACTATACACTAATCTACTGCTGAACTCTACAACAGAACAGTGCCAAAATTTTTGTTTAACCTTAAACCTCTAAACAAACAAAAACAATATAAAAACAGCCAAAAAAAACAATAATAAATATCAGATAAAATATAAAATAAAATAACAGATAAAAACAAGCCAAACCAGTATTTTACGTTGTGTGTATTCAGTAGCCTTGTTGATAAGTGTAAGTTCCTTTACAACATGCTGTAATCATTATAGCTAAGAAAAAACCGCCTATTATAGCTAAAAAACTTCGCGAAAATTACTCAATTTTTGTGTCTAGTAAGAAATAAAAGTTTGATAACAATTTTAAAAACGAGAGTAAGTTAACACCCTGTGTTTGCAACACCAACAAATGCCAAATAATCAAATAATTCTAATAACAAATAAAAAATTATTTAAATAATGAATTTTAATAAACCAAATCATTCTAATGCAATTGTATTTTTTTATAGATCTTCTGAAGCATGCGGTGGAGTTGATGGATTCATAAAAGAAGTTGAAGGTGAAGTGGAAGATAGTGGGCATTGTATTTATTATATTAATAAATTGTCTTGAAATGTGAATGTCTTGTATTTCTTAACCTAACAGATCAATTATAACCAATATTTTTTTAAGATCACTTAAGACTTATAAATAGGCTTCATTTTATTATACTGTAAATCTTTATTGGTAAAAAATTAATTATTTTTATGTTTAAGAAAAAGGGTGAGCTAAGTTAGCATAGGAATGATATGAAACTGCTTAGGTATATGTTAAATAGGTATAAATTATATTACTATTACTATAGCCTATTATTATTATTATATTATTATTATCTCTGATCATGACAGTAATTGAAGTACTGTATATAAAACTTCGTACCCGTACCAAGTTCTGAGTGAGTCTAAAGGTGTGAGCTTGTTTGTCCAAGTCCAACATGTGCTAAAACCAATTCCAATATGAGTCTAAGCCAAGTCCAATATGAGCCTACTAAAATTGGGCTTGGGTCCCCAAGTCCCGAACAAGTCCATATTGAGCCTGTTTAATTTATCAGTGTGAGCTTGTTTGCCCAAGTCCAACATGTGCTAAAACCAATTAAAATATGAGTCTAAGCCAAGTCCAATATGAGCCTACTTAAATTGGGCTTGGGTCCGCAAGTCCCGAACAAGTCCAAAATGAGCCTGCTTAATCTACTACTAGACCCGTTTTTATCCATCATTCCAAGCTTAGAGTGGGTTTGTGCCCATGAGTTCACTGTAGGTTTGGGGTTGGGACTTGGGTTGGACTTGGGGAGCCAAACCCATAACAAGTTGAACAACTGCCAACTTCGGTCTCTAAAACAAGTCAAAACCAAGCCTACAGACTTTGGTCCCTGAGTCTAAACCAGGCTTGGGAACTTGGGCCAATGGACTTGGAACAAGTTCCCAGCAAGCCCATTGTGCTGTTGGGGCACACTCTTCATTGGAAGTAGTGACACTAAAGCGCTTTGGCTGAGGAGTACCAAGTAGGTAGGTTATTGGAGATTTTAATGATTGCTGAGCCGATTCTCAAACTATGGAGCAAACACAATCTGATTTGCTATCTAACAGATTTTTGCAGAATATAGTCTGCAAAAAAATTGAGGCTAAGTTTTCATGACAGCTCTTTCACTTTAATTGGACCATTGACTATTTTATACTGAAGTAGACATCCCATCCATATGGAACAGCTGTTGCCAAGTTTTAGCGAATTTCCCCATAGGGGAGTAGCTATTACCGTAGGTGGCACTGTAAGACCTAGACCCGGGTCCGATTTACTTTTTCATTTTGATGTCCCCAGAGGCCAAAAACACCATTCGCTCAAATTTTTATACATGTATATA